TATCTATATGTATTACGCGCGCTCAGAAAAATATAATTAGTATTAAAACAAGCAAAAACATTAATTAAATGAGAAAAAAAAATAAAACAGCCATGCCATGGAAGCTTGCCTTGGTCTGAACATCCAGACAATGGTATAAATTTCTTCAACCACCAATGGGCATATAGTCCTGATTTATATATTTGATTCGTTCCGTTGTAATTGTTTTTAACAATGGGATGACTTGGCTGAATTACTCTTCTTCCAACTTTTTGTATTATAGTTTGATGTATGTACGGTATAGGTTGCGTAAATCTTTTTTGCACTTTATGCTCATATTTATTCAAAGGTACATAAATTGTATTTATTTGTGTTTGTATTTTATTTGTAGTAAGAATATGCTTAGAATTGTGATCTTTCATATTAGTTTTGCATATTGAAAGATCCTGAGCATTTTCAATATGCTTCGATAAATTGCATAAATGAATGCTATTCCTGGGAGTAGAACCAAAAGGTGATGTACAAATGCATTGATATTCAAATTTACTTTCATCATTTTCACTTTCGCTGGAATAGATTCTTAGAGGATGTTCAACGTTATATTTATTATCAACATATGTGCATAATTTACAAGAAGAATTAATTTCAGATGAATTCAAGCAATAACTCTCAACCATTCCTGAATCTAACGATCCAACGCTAATTACATTAGCTTGAAAATCAGATGTTTGATATATTTTTTTTGGTATATATGTTTGAAATTGGCAACAATGTTTATTGATGTTTGAATTACATATAAAAACAGATGGATGATGTATAGAATTTTTGGTAATTTGTTCATCAATGAATCCTTTTCCTTTCCAACACTTTATTGAATCTATGTGCTTTTCCATTTCGTTAAATATATCTTGATGGAAGTTAGAACCAATTGGATATGAATGAATAAGATTAGTAAAACGTGATCGGTAAAGAGATTGTCCATCAACAAAACTATTATTTACATTATTATTATTATTCATAAAATTATTGATTGAACTTTCAATGCCAATAAATGGTAAACTTTTGCTAATTTCACATATACCATTTTGTGCTGATATAAATTCTGTTAAACATGAATCATGTGCTAATCCTATAGTACTAAGATCAATATCTTCTAATGCATATTTCACTTCAAGTATCAGAGTAGACTTACGCAACATTGTTTGTGTCGTTTCAACAGATGAATGTTTCATTTTATTAATATTATTTAAAGCCATGTTTTCTGAATTTTGAGAATAGCAATCTTGATTGTTTGTTTGCATTGGATGAAGAATATATGTTGTTATATTAGTTTTTCGCATTTTTACGTTACTCATATCTGGTTTCAGAATATATTGCAAATAAAGCAATTTTTTCAGAATTTCAAGACGTATAATTTTTTTCTTGACTAATTTTGCAAAATATCTTGAAAGACGAACATATGGAGGTAAATTATGACTCACGCGTGATATCATTGATGATTTTACAAGACTATTATTTGTTGTTTGTTCTTGTATTAAAAGTTTAATCCAACGCTGTTGATCTTCTTTAGTAGCGCAAAATACGAGTATATTCTCAATCATTGGTCCTAAAATAAAATCGAAATTTTATTAATTTTTATAAATATTATATTATATAAATATTATTTATAAATATTAATTTTAATATTTCATTTTGAAAAGAATGAATGGTTTTAATGATAAATGAATAAATAATATCTCTTGCCTGTAATTTCGAAAGTATTTCTCATTTCATCTGTATCTTCTATTTGAATAATGGTAATACCTGTTAATGGAAGTTTTCCCTACAGAGAATAGAAAAAGTAAATTCTTTTATATATATTTATGAATTAAAGATATAAGAAATATAATATATAAAGAAAAAATTTTGAATATACTTCATAAACAAAAGAACTCATTCTTGGACTGATACTGAGAACTAAAAGAGTTGTTGGAAAAAGAACAAAATATCTATCTCGACGATCTAGACTTGTAGTTCCATTTGCCAAAGTGACTGAGCCAACATAAAGAATTTCTCCAAGAGAATTTAATTCTTCTCCCTCCCATCCTTTAATACCACTAGTTAAAACTTGAAGTGCTAATTCACGTTGTTTTCGTATAGATACACATTGATCCTATACAACAAGAATACATATATTACATTAAAATATAAAAATATATGTATTACAAAAAATATCAAACATTTTTAAAATTAAATATACAACATATAGATTATTAATTAATATAATTTATTAATATTAAATTCTTTAACTTACAGCTATTTCTCTATATACAGCTATACTGCGCTGAGTGTCGCCTCTATCAGGATGATTCTTTTCTGTATACCTTTCCAATTCTTGAAGCATAGCAGAATATTTGTCTAATCTTCGAAAAGGTTTACTTAAACTAGTTGTTAATACTAATATACCCGGTGATATTGCTCCATTATGTTCCATGAAATCATTCAATTCATCTCTATATAAAAAAAATTTTATTTTTTTTTTATTTAAATAATCTAAATAGTCATAAAAATCTTTTAATTTTTGTAACATACCTATATTGATCTAAAATACATACAGCCTGTGGATGATTTCCACAATATGTTATATGAATAGATTTTAATTTTGGTGCTAATGTTAGAAACAGATTTCCAACTCTCAAAACGCAATCTTGTGTCACAGTTGTTTCTAAGTTAGATAATAATCGTTGATGTATTTCAAGAACTTCATGTATATTACCTAGAAGTTGTTTATATTCTTCTTTTTCTAATCTGAAAATTTAATATACAAACAAATTTTATTTTTAATATTAGAAATTTTCAATATTATTTATAATAAAGTATTATTATTTACATACATACAAAGATAATATACAAATAAATATGCATATAACATGAATAGATATATAAAATTAGTAATCAATAATTAAATAATTTATTACATATATTTTATATATTTTTTATATATTATATAAACTTACATATTAGCAGATTCTAGGGGATGTAAAAAATTATTTATTAAACCCTGCAATTCTGCTACATTCACTCTTTCAGAATCTATTAAATCCTTTAATACAATATCTCGATTTAATTTTTGATGCACAGGGGATTCTTGCAGAATTTTTTCAGGAGAAGTCTTCATAGTTAAAATATTGTTTTCTTTAAATGAAATAAAAATAAATAAAATAACAAAATAATAAAAATATAGTAGAGATTATTTGATGAATTAAAATAGATTATTTTATTGCATAATACCTGAAACTCTACATTCTTTGACATAATTAGATGGAAACCAGCCAGTTTTGTCATGCAATGTGCCTTCCCACCAGCCTTCTTCATCTGTTTGTGTTATTGTTATTACATCTCCTTTTTTAAAACATAACTATGATAAAAATATAACAGTATTTAGAAAATCAAATTATAAAAAAATTATAACATGATATAATAGAAAATTAAACATACTTCATCATTATTTTTTCCTTTAAAGGAAAAAAGTGCAGTCACAAGTTTTGGCATATCAGGTTTTGACATGATTATTAATATAAATGAATAAAGAAAGAAAAAACAATTCAGAAACAAATTTAAAAATGAATATATAAAAAACATAAACAATCTTTAATCAAACAATTTCATTTTACAAAAAAACTCTCTAATTTTGTTTGCATTTCTTTTTTATCAATTCAGCTTCATTGTATCATAAAATTTGAAATGATATAATCTTAAATACATATTCATTGAATATATTTAAATAATTTTTCAACTTTCACAAAATTACGATTCATATTTCTTGAATGTTTAGTGATTTTTATTTATACGTTTCACCTTTGTTCTATCGTGCAATTCGTATTCTTTTCTGATTATCGCATTAAATTTAATTCAACTAGTTTAAATATACTTGATGAATTATTATATACAAAAAAAAAATTTGAAATTATTCAACAATGTCATTGACTATTCATCTATAACGAACAAAGAGGTTAGTCTTACATTCAGTTGCAACTATTAATATCTAATACGCATACATTTTCATGTATATATATAATATATATACATGAAAATGTTTAATTTTATGTATTACGTAACTATTCTTATATAAATAAATAAGTTACATAAATTACATATAAATACATATATTATACATAAAAACATATATTACATACATATATATTTATATTATCTTCTCTTTTCTTTTTATGTAATATGTATAATATTTTATAGAAAAAAAAAATTTCAAAAACTTTTTTTTATGAAATTAAATATTATTACCAATACAATACAAATTTATTATATAAAATTTATATAAAATTATATAATACTTACCCACATAGAGAAATATATATTATTTTATTTATAAATAGATACATATGAATATATGATATAAAAGATAAGTTTTTATAGAAAAAAATAATGCATATAATATAATGCGTAAGTAAATGAATTACATAAATGAGAAAATGCTATATTTTTATTGTAGCGAATTACATGCATATGATATTACTTACATTCGCGTTTTTTTCTTAAATATTACTAATATATAGCTATGATATTTTTGAAAATAATAGTTTTGATTTTTATCTGATTTTAATATGTAATAAATTCACAATTTGATGTTTTAGCAAATATCTATTTTCGACGATATATTTTTCTTGATTTTATAATTTATAGTATATATTATATATTATATGAAATTAAATGAAAAGAAAAAATGAGCATATTGTTGACGCATCAACGTAATGATTCGGTGAACAATCAATCTCTTAATTAATAATTTCAAAATAGAGAATGTGCAATACAATTTTAATAAAATAATAATTTTTTTTAAATATATTGGGTGTACGTATAGACATAGAAATTCAAATAGAAATAAGAAAGTGTTTAATGACTATATTATTGAAACAATTATTATCAGTGTTTTGTCATGGTCATTATTATCGCTAACACGGGCATCATATGATGAAGAATCGGGATCATAAATTCGATCGGACTTTATTTTTCGTTGTATCCCGATTTTCCGTACATATATATAATAGAAATCATTTTGCTAATAACATTGCAAATAACATTGTTTAATACACTAATAACAAGTAAAGACAATAAAATCGGCGCGGTTTTACTACGCACACAGGTACAAGGATATAATATAACATCGATCGAAGAAATTGCCTAATCGATAGGCTCTGGTCCGCAAAATATGGGTATTCGTCGGTGTATCCAATCGCATATACATACATATATACTTATATATATATTTATATTCGCATTCGTCGAAAAACAAGTAAATTATCTCATTTATTTGTTTTTTTCTTTCTCAAAATTTTTTCAGCTGTAGAGAGCAATACACGCGATGCATGTCATATTCTCATATAAGAGATGGTGTTCTTTCAAACAAAATTCATTGATATTGATGAGTTTTCAATTAAAACCGACAATATTATTCACGAAGGATCTTTGAAAGTTTATATGATGGACGGATAATCATCAGTGAACATCGTATTTTGTCCTTTCTCTTTCTTCGCTCTCTTTTTTTCTCAACTTTCATTTTTTCTTACCTCTTGCTCCTTCTTCTTTTTTTTCGCTTGCATGCTTTCAACTTCTGGTTTCTAATGAATCATTTTTTTACTATCTTTTATCTTTGCACATCTTATTTTTTATCGAATTGGTCCTTATAATTATCTTTCATTCTATAAATTCTTTAAATATATTTTTGAAATATGTACGCGTATGTCATTAACGTTTAACGTCACTGCTCTCATTATTAATATAGTCTAAGAAAAGAGCAGAGGACGATTTTTCGTTAAAAAAGAGAGAAAAAAAAATGAAAGTAAAAAAGCATACATGCGCGTATAAAGGACATTTGCTCATAGAAAGTATAATTTGTATCGCAAACAATATTTTCGAGGAAACAAAATACTTATTCGTCAATGATATTGTTCGATATTTGAAATCAAATGAAGATCAGTCTCGTGCGTATTTTGAAAGATTATAAGTTAAAATTTGAAAGAGATAATTTACATGGTTCTTAATCACTAATTATAGTCGATTAATATATCATTCATGCATTTATGAAATGTTTGATACGTTCGTTACGATGCCATGCATTGGCGATCTAAACAATTGCCATGGCTCATAGAAATTTTTTTTTACTTGATGGACGGGAAGTTATAAGAATGGTATAGACCAAGATAAAATTGTATACTTGAAAAGTATAATATACGCGATTTACGGGACAGTCTTCTAAAAACTACTTACATCATATTTGCAAAAGCTCGTAAACATAATAAATAAATTCTCACACGTGTATTACACTAGTGCAATATTTTTTCTTTTTTAAAAAAAGCTTTGTTTTTCTTTATATATATTATTATATATGTATTAAAGACAAACTTATCTTAATGATATATCAATTCATTCTAACTTTTGATAATCATATAGAAAAAGATATACTTCACAAATTTCGATGATTTTCGAAATGTTATTTTAAATAATTTTTTTCTATAGCGCTGCTTAATCTTGAAATATTCGCGAAATATTGTATTATTACAATTTTATTTATATGTAATCTTCTATATCTTCTGTAGTAGCAAATGTAACAGTAAAGTGGAATTTATCAATTGTTTATAGTATAAACACATTACAGCAGCAGACAAAATATATAACGGATAAAATATTACATATTTAATATTTATCAATAATAAACATGAGAAAAAAATGATAAAAATGAAATATAAAACAATTGTTTAAAATCAATTAAAATTCTATTTATTGATTTTAATTATCTTAAAATATAATGTAAAGAATATGATTTTGAACAATTCTCTATTTTCTATATAATAGCAGTTAGTTTTTTGAATTAATAAAAAATTTTTTATATTATATCATTGAATTTTGTCTATACGTCAATATGCAGCTTTAAGATCAGCTAGTATATGATTTTGATTATTGGAACAACAAATTGAAAAATTGTGCATTTTTTTTTAAAAATGGTTGTGATCTGAATTATTGCAAATTCAAAATTTCCGAGATATTAACAAAAAATTTTTAATATTAAATTTTGTCTATATCTATATATCTATGAAAATATAAATATCAATATCGATCGTTGTTTATCTATTGTATTTATAAACATATGATGCCCGGCTTTTAAAATATACAATAAAGAGATTAATATATATATAGAGATTAGATATTTTTTCACGAAAATAAATATTCTAAAAAGCATACGCTTTCAATTAATATGAAATTAGAGAGGAACTGAATAAGAAGAAATAAATTTAAAATTTTAACTTCAGGTTATTAATTTTTGAAATGTTAAAAAAAGATTTGATTTTGTAATTCAGAATAGGAGAAATCTATTCATTAATTTTTATACTTTTTGAATCGCAAAAATCAACATTTTGAACAACTTTTTTCTTTAAATATATATCGTCTTCGTATATTATTGCTCTTAGTTTTCAAAATATTTGCAAAAAAAAGTTCTTATTATTACATAGATAAATACATAGATAAATTTTTTTTATATATTCATAGCTGCATGCAATTTTTTATAAATATAAACAACTAAGATATATAATTAGTGAACTAGCAAAAAATTATTATATATATTATTTTTTATTTATTATTATGGATTATATTAGACTTAAAAAGTTTTAAATTTAATATCGAACTTGATTAAAATTAAAATATAAAATAATCCTAGATAAATTATAATAACCAAAGTTACAATGAATATCAACATCATTCTTGGTATTTATCATTGTAATTTCGATTTTTTTTTTTCATTTCGGTCATTCAAAGAATCTGAAGAATTCATATAATGTTCTCGACATTAGATTTGAGACATTTTATTTAAACATAAATAAATATTTATGAGCAAATAGATTTTTGACCAATTTACCAATTTAATTTGAGCAATAGATTTTGACCAATATTTTGGATGCTGTCCGCTAGAATACTTATAAGAATAATAAATAAATGATGGCAGACTCACACATACACGCAATATAAAATTTTTTTTTATAAATTTAATATAAAACTTATAATAACAATATTTTTTTGCAAATATCTCGAAAATTAAAGCGATAGGAACATAGAAAGAAAAGAGTTTTTTTAAAATAAAATGACAAGAATCTTCCTATTCCAAATAATTTTCAACTAAAAATTTCAATACAATATATTAAATTCTACTTTTACACATATTATGAAGATATATTATCTTCGTAATAGCAGTCATAATCGTCAAATATTAAATAACTAATCACAATAATATGACGATAGTAGCAATAATAGTTTTATTAGTTATTTATAACATATTCCATAAGTATCGGCACGCATGACTTCTAATGTACTCAGCTTAGCAAGACTCAAAATATAAAGCTCAAACCAAACTAATACTTTTTTATCTTCATATGACAACACATTTATAAGCTGTTGAATATCTACTAAGCAATCAAATATGGTCTTTGAAAATTTAACATTTTTCTAATTAAAAATAACATTTTTCTTTAAATAAAATAGCTAAAAAAATAATAATGAAAATAAAAATCATTGTCGTCATTGTTAATTATCTATAGTCGGCAAAAAAATTTGTTTTAACTCAATAATTCTGTCAGTAGATCTTAAAACATAATATAATTTAAAATGATTGCAGATAAAAAATATTCTTAAGCAATTGAAGTTACGATAACAGATTTTATTTGAAGATACTATTTACTTTAAAATATGCTATATATCAGTATCACTATGATATTATATATCAACCCACACTCAATAACAATCCATAGAATATGCAATGATAATAGCAGCATTTAATGTTAATTAATGTTAAAATTATAATAGTTAATAAGTATTAGTTAATAAATAATAGTTAATAAAATTATAATATTTAGTAAAAATTATATGTTAGTTATATTATACCTATATATACTAACATATAATAAAATTATATGTTAGTTATATATATAGATATTAATAAAAACTTTTATTAAACTTTTATTAGAATAAAATACAATATGCAATTCTTGTCGAAATGAGCTAAAATTTTGAGGGATCAAAGAAAGATTTCTGAATATAAAATTTTATCTTTGAATCTTTATTATTTTCCGAAATATTAATAATAAGATTGAAAATGTATAAAGATAAAATAGTTAAAAATCTATTTGCTCATGAATTACGATAATTAAAATATCTCAAATTCAATGCCAAGGAATAATAAAACATAAAACAATCCTTGAATTAAAAATTAAAATATAAAACAATTACAATATATCAACATTTTTTGTATCAAATCTATGGTAATTTCCATCATCCAAGTTTTATATTTTATTTATTATATTATATTTCATTTATCGAAGAACCCAATCTGAAATATTGAAATATTGAAATATTCAAATTCAGCATTGAATAAGACATTATAAGTTCATCATAATTCATAAAAAAACAGTTTTTTAGCGAGTTTATCTGTTATATATTTCGCTACCCATTGCGATATGTTTATAAAAACAAAAGATAAATGTTGACGTATATATTGCCAAAAGCGTATGGATATTCATAAAAATATGAGACTTTTGAAGGATTCTAAACATCAAAATGATGAAAAAAGTTCATATACACATATGTTGGATAAGATTTAACGGGTTATTTAAATAATAAATATTAAATAAATATTAATATTAAATAAATTTATATTAAAATTTTAAGTTTATATTAAGATAAAGTGAAAATGCTTTAGCGCGGCAGTACCACATTACAATGTCGCTTGCTGCTCAATGAAAGTAAATATACGATATTTTTTTATATTAAGATTATTACTATTAATGATATTTTTTTTATAAATTAATTATATATTTCAAATGAATTTCAATGTAATATTAATGTACATATCATATAACTTATTTAACATTTAACTCGAAATTTTATGAGAATTTTCATTTGCTTCTATTTTTGATTTTAGTAAGTAAACTGATTGAATACAACAATTCAATATGGATTTAAATAAAATGTTTGTATTATAAAATGATTTATCTATGGATTTAAATAAAGTAGTTAAATATAAAAAATAAATAATATATTAATATTCTAGAATATACTAAAATTTATTCAAATTTTTGTTAAATAAGAAATTACATAATACATATATTATATTATATTACACTGAAATTCAAATTATCAATTTAAAATAATCAATTGTATATAAAAAATATATCAATGTATTTACTTTTATTGGGGATAAAACTATGTAAGCGACATTGCAATATGGTACTTCCGTGCATCCAATATTCTCGCTTTTTTATTATCTTACTCTATTTAAATTTAAAATATTTAAACTTTGATTAAACTAAATTAATTAAGTTTTATTGGACATATATGTATATAAACTTTTTTCATCATTTTGATGTTTAGAATCCTTCAAAAGCATCCCATATGAACACCCTATATAAACAGAAATTCAATGTACCAAAAATTTTATTCAGAATAGAATCTTTATTGATTTCGATGATTTTTGAATATATTCTACAAATTAACATTTTGAACAATTTTTTCTTTTGTATGTTATTACTGCGATATATAGAAATAGATAAGCAGTTGCATCGTGTTGATGTATCATCAAAGAACGTGTATGTGTAAATAAAATCCAATGTATACAAAAAATTTTTTATTAATTATTTTGGAAACTAATAAAAATCCGAAGCTAAAATTTTATATTTTGGACTTCTTTCTCATCTTCTACTATCTTTCAAATTTTCAACTCATTTTTTGAAAATTGTTCCAGTGGATTCATAATATACATTTTAAATGTTGATAGAATCAATAAATAGAGATCGTATATTAATCTATATGTAATAAATAAATAAAATTCAATATATAATACCAATAATTTTTATTAATACGTCAAAAATTATGAATTTGCATCAATCCAGATCAGTTAATAACATAAACTTCGCTATCATATTCTTAAAGTTCTTTCAATTAATAAAATGAAGTCACAATTGCCCAATAACATATAATGAATGAACTTATTGAAAATCTACTTCTAAATGGATTTGAATAATAGAATAATGATATTAGTTTCCCCATATATTTTGACTATCATAATATATTTAAAACAATAAATAAACAGCATAGTAATCGCATATACTACCACAAATATATAGTATAGACAAATTTTAATATAGCAACAATTTTAATAATTATTAAAAATAAAAATCCTCATTGATTTTTTCAATATATTCTAAAAATCAACATTTTGAATAACTTTTTCCTTTACATATTTCTTTGCATGTGTTGTCACTCGGTCTTAGTTTTTGAGATATTTATAAAAAATATTATTACTATTATATAAAATTTCTTTTATATTTATATCTACAATTATATCATTACTATTAATATAATAACATAAAATGAATGAAATAGTAAAAAATCTATTCCTTCATGGAATATGATAAGTGTAACATGTTATAAAATTTAACGCTGCGCTTGAGCATTCCGCAGATCTGAAAAATCTATGGAATACAAAAATAAAATATAAAACAATCTTTACATAATCAAAATTAAACCGAAATAATAAATATCAAAAATGATGCTGATATTCATTATAACTTTAATTATTGAATTTTTGGTTTTATATCTTATTTTTATATTTCGTAATCATTTGTGAAATGCCAAAACTTGATATTGATATTTGAAATATATCAAGTTATTATAATATTTTTGTTAATATTTGATTATAATATTGAATAATATAATATTGAAATTATAAATTTGCAACAATTCGGATTACCATCATTGTAATTCTCGTTTCGTAAATTTTCGATTGATATTTCTCGCCTCTCTAATCGATATCTCAAATATTAAGCCAGAGTTACNTATATATATATATATATATATATAGAGAGAGAGAGAGAGAGAGAGAGAGAGAGAGAGAAAAAATCGTCCAGTGTTATCCTCTATAATATATTTCAAAATCATCGATATGCTTTTCTCTATATAATTAACATTTTCATTTTATAATTAACACACGAAAAAAAATGTTTATTATTCTATTATTTTCCTTTATTATTATATTGTATGAAATTAATAGAAAATGCAATTTGAAATTGTATATGTTTTATGACATGAAATATGTATCGTGTCATATATTATAAATATTTTCTACTTATTAATTTTTTATCATTCTTTGTTTTTTCTTTTTTCTTATCTTCTTTGTTTTTTTCTCTTTTCCTTCTCCTCTTTCTTTTCTGAATCATTTAAACGAACGAAGTAAAGCGACAAGCTTTTTGTATAGTTTGTTTACAATTATATTCAATTGATCGAATATCAAAATAATCTAGTCTAAAATAGTCTAAAATATATATATATATATATAAAGAAAAAGCATAATTTGAAAAATATGTAAAAAATGAATATATATGAAAAATGAAAATATACAGAAATCGAAATAACTACATTACATGTATATATTTATATTGTTTGAATTATCATATAAAAATATCATATAATAAATCATTATTTTTTTTTATTATTTATTAAAACTTAGCAGAAAATAAAAATAAGATTATAGCTACGTATCACTCATACAAATTTTAAAACATAATTTATTTATTTGATTCATCTTTGCATAATATAAAAAAATGTTTTAATAATAATATGTATATTAAGCATGTAAAGAGAAAAGAAATCGATAAGTGATTGCATCACACAAAGAAAGATTGGACAAGAGGGAGAGTTTTAGAACAAGAGAAGGGATGAACAAGCTAAAATAGGAAGATAAACAATATATATATATTGAATATATATTTCTTATCTCTTTATAATTTCGAGATCGTAAGTCATAATTTTAAATAGGAATTAAAGAAAAATAAAAAAAATTATTGAAATTATTTTTTACTTATAGTAGAAATTTTTTCATAATTTCTTTTCAATATAATTATATGATTATAAACATTTTTAAGTTATTCCATTACATTTCAGATATATTTTTTATCTAATATGCTGATTTTCTATTAAAATTACTTTTGAATCACTATACATGATTAATATAAATTATTACAAGAAATACTATTACTTTACAGGAAAAGATTCAATGTATAAAATGTTCAAGATATTATGAATGCAAAGTACATATTAACATATATAATATTTACAAATATCGCCTAATAATAAGATACTACAAAAGTGAGAAATTGGCAAATATATTCTAAATATTATCTATACATAATATATGTATACACATGAATGAGTGAATTTTTATGTCTAATATTTTTGTATATATTTATTCGCAAACATAAATAATTGACTATTCGATAATAATTGAAATGCTAAATTTTACAAATTCGAAACTGAATTTGTTTGCATTGGTCCATTTTTTCTTGTTCTTATAATATATTTTCATTTTGGTTGTAATTATTCATAATGATTGATGTAAATTTTGCATTTTTATCATTAAAAGAAACTAAATGATAATATAAGAATAAAACATAAAAAGAAAAAGACTGATTTGTGATTTCATGAATGTCTTTGTAAAATTCAAAACAGTCAAAACACAAAATGGACACAAAAATAAAAATAAATAAAAAAAGAAAAGAAATGTGTGATGCATGTGTGTTTTTAAATAAAGGCGAAAGGGATAAAAAAAAGACATGAAGAAAAATAAAAAAAGAAAATATAATGAAAATAAAGAGATAGAATAGAAATAAAAATAGAATAAAATAGAAATTGAAAATTAATTTAGTGATTAATTGACATTTTGATTAATAATAAAAAACCGTGTCGCATTTCTTCGTCCAAACGATTAAAGAACATGTAAATTTTCACAACTTTTAGATTTGCTATCTCTTGACCATACCTTACCTAATAAATTTCGTACCTTCAAACTGGTACTTGTACGACTACCTCGATATTTTTTCGGCGAATTATTTTCAGAACAAGATCCTAAAGGTGATTTACTACGATTTTTTCGCGATCTCTTCCGAAATAAATCTCTTGTTCTTTCAGGATTCTCAAGCTTCAGCCGAATTTGTGTAAGTAAGCCAACAAGAAGTTCGTCAACGTTATGATTGATCCCAACGGATGTTTCAATAAATTTACAATCATAAGATGTAGCCATAGATTTTCCCTCTATAACATAGAGATATAAAAATGTTTGTGTTATTTGTTTTCGTTATTTTGTTTCAAATCAAAAAATCACATGCTAATATGCTTGTTTAAAGACATAGAAAGAATGGGAAGAAAAATATAAATATAAAATAAATAATAAACTAGATATAAAATAATATTATTTTAATATCGATTTTATTAATCTAATCCATGTATGACGGAAAATTAGTCAATATTTTTTCATATTTTTGCATATTTCATTACTTTAAAGAAATTTATTAAATTTAGGTAACGATATGGTCAATATAGAAAGACTGAGCACAAAACAGTTAGGGAAGCTATATAATCTCTTACCTTCGGTCGAGACCAATCGACTGCGAACAAGGTCAACTTTATTTCCAACAAGGATCACTGCTCGAGCTGATACATAATCGCTGCGCCAAAGTGTTTGCAAAACTTCTTCTGCTACACGTATTGAAGCTCGATCGGTTGTAGAATAGACGACGCAATAAGCATGTGGTTCATATGTGGTTATACAAGTTTCCGGCTATAAAAAATATTATTCGAAGAAATTTTGTAATTCAACAATTTTCATTAGGATCAATATATTTAAAACATTAATCATAGTCTATATTGATTACATTGATGATGAGTTAATGTGAAATGTTTTTCCTTTTATTTAATTTCGTATGTTTGAATAAGATCCTAAAAGTGATTTACAATTCTTTCGCGATCTCTTCCGAAATAAATCTCATTAATAGATTATAAATTATAGAATAAAAGTAAGAATGATAACCGAGAATCATGGTAATTAAAATTATCAGAAGTTTTTTTTCTCATTCATTCATTCATTTATTCACTCATTCTTTCTCCGTCATATTTTTCAATTTTTAATATTTTTTTTCTATTAAGATACACATTATATTGACATATAAATTGTAATTATAAATCTAAATTATAATCGTATGAAAAAAAACTATAAACTGATTTACATTATGATTTTTATCCATATTGATCACATATATATATATACGCGATATTGTGGTTCGATGGTTTAATCGATCTCTGGACTGTTTTACGGTTGACCGATAGTTATGGTTCGATGCTCGTCAATCGCTATTCAGGATGATATACCGAGTTTTATAATATGCTTCATATTTAATACATTCGACCGAACACTATTACTTCTTGTCTTTCTCATTTTATTCAATCTTATTTTCTATCTCTTTCTTTTTTATTTTCCTTATTAATTTTATGTTTATTTATCTATTTTTTTTTATTTTTTATAATTTAGTTTTGATTAAATTATATCATATGTGCATCTTATTATTATGATATTATATTGAAATCTAAATCAAATATATTTCATTTTATAATGACTAAATTTTCTATTGAATGGGAATATTTGATTTGTCGATTGAAGAAAATTTGTCGAATAATTTAAATCGATAACTTGATTTTTTCAATATTTCTTTTCATTTTTTATATGTAATTATATATATGTATTTCATTACGTACCGTCATTTCCGCACTAGAATGATCAATAAAAGTCAGTTCGGATTCTTCCCCAGCTAAAAGGACGCTAACAGTTTTCTCCCCTGATTCATCATCTATAAAGAAAGAATAAAAATCTAGAGATTTAAAATAGAATTTATCATGATGTGAGAGAAAAAAAATAAAAAGAAAAATTTGAGGATTGAATGAAAAAGAAAATGAAAAAAAAAAATAATCATTATTGAAACATAATGAATATATTTTATTTACCAATTGATGTATCATATGCATGAAGATATTCCGATGTCATAAATTGAGAAACTAACGAACTTTTTCCTACGGCTGGAGCTCCCAGCATTAAAACACGATATGGCGTTGGTCCCTGAGACGCACTGCTTTCACGGGAACTTGCCAATGAGCCCGCTGCTGAATTTCTTGCTGAACCAGGATACGAAGCTGTTAGATGTTCCGTACTGTACCATCATTGATAGTCACGCCATGGAAAAAACCGATAAAAGGACGAAAAAATAGAGAAAGAAAGACGTATTATATAATCGATATTTATATATCATATCAACAATCAAATAAATTTGTGATTTTTTATTATGCATATTGTTTATATCATTTGTTTGATATTTTAACTTCAATTTTATTTTAAAAAATAATTTATATTTTATAGAAAAAAATCTCGATGACAATCGGAAACGATGGAAGTTTGTTTTTGACATACTTTTTTATGCAGCATTTAAATTCTACTCTAAGGTCCAACACGTGTGTCTACGTCGCTTAAATGCTCAATGCTACACGTAAACTCACGCGTTCGATTTAGAATAGAATCGTCGAAATGAAATTTTAATTTCCAAAATCCTTTTTTCTTTTCTTCGTCTTCTTTTTCTTCTTACTTCTTTTCTCCTTCTTTTCCTATAACAATAACAACAACAACAACTACTACTACTACCACTACTACCACTATTACCACTACTACCACTACTACCACTACTACTACTACTACCATTACTATCACTACTACCACTACTACCACTACTACCACTACTACCACTACTACCACTACTACCACTACTACCACTACTACCACTACTACCACTACTACCACTACTATCACTCTACCACTACTACCACTACTACCACTACTACTACTACTACTACTACTACTACTACTACTACTACTACTACTACTATTACTACTACTACTATTAATACTAGTATTACTATTATTATTATTATTATTATTATTGCTATTACTATTATTATTATTACTATTATTGCTATTATCACTATTATTATCACTACTATCACCATTATTACTATTATTTATTACTATTATTATAACACTTATTATTATATTGTTTCTCCTTCTATTTTCCGATTGTCGTCGTTTTCTTCTATTCCATTTCATTTGATTTCAATATTTTTATTTTAATTGTGTTTAATTTTCTTTTTTCTGTCGAAAAAGGAAAAATGAGATACAAAATAAGAGAATCTCACCTTGAGTTGCTCGAAGCAACGCTATTGTTAGATCGAGATCTTCGACTTTTCAACGAATCTCCTCGGTTTACAATTCCTTTACCAGTTATACTGAAATGTCGAAGCCTGTAATATTCTTCCTCTACACCAGTGTTTGGCATGCTTGCAACTCTTGATCTCTGTTGAGGAAGACATAAATAATTTGGTCTACCTGATGAACGACTTCCAGGAGTCTTAACTGATTGAGATCTACTGTGATGTGGACTGCCATATCTAAAAAATAATAATAATATTAATAATATTAAATTTAATAATAATAAATGAAGAATAAAATTGTATTATAAAAATATAAAATTAGAAATAAAATTAGAAATAAATTATAGAAGTATAAAATTACAAAATATAAATACGTATAAATAAACATAATGAATAATTATAATAAAATATATAATAATATTAAATAATGATTATCCAACCTCATTTCAAAATCGTGTATCTCTTGTAATGTCAATGTGTTCGCAACATCTAATAATTGTCTCATATTTTCTTCTCGACGTCTAACATCCAACTCTGGATGTAATAGTATCGTAGCAGCTCCACTCGATCCGTCCAATGAGAGTGATGGTTGTTGTACCACAATCGTTGCCGCTTGCGTTGATCTCTTATTTCCACTCGTGTTGCCTCCTTTTCGGTATTAGAAAGTAAACATCCGTTATCTTCGTCCCTCAATCTTGTCTGATTTAATTTGGTATTTACAAAAAGATCTCCGAGCACCGAATATTTTTTCGTCTTTTATTTTTTATTTCCACACATATCTTTTTTTTTGCCTTTTCGCGGGATTGATATTCCCCTTATAAATCTGCCCGCGTTCCCTATCTTCATTTTTGCCAATCTCTCTTCTCGTGTGTAAGATGTATTTTAATACGCGATCGATCGAGAGGAACTGATCGCACGAACGAACACGGAATTGATCATGCTCATCGTTCAATCTTCTATAATTTATATCTTTTCTTCCTCTTCCTTCATCACTTTTTTTTTATTCCCTCCTTCTCCTTCTCTTTCTCTTTATCCTTCACATTTAATTCTTTTTCCACCTTCACCTTCACTTCTATATATTACCACTATTACCACTATCATTACGTTCATCTTCACCTTCACTATCTTTATCAGTTTTTTTCCTTGTTTCCGTTTCCGTTCGTCGCTATCACATCTTTAGTAACTATTTTAATTTTCACCGATCTTCTATCTCTATGATAATTTGGTATAAATAATGGATTACTTGTCGCAAATTTTGTAAGCGTTCCTTTATTCGATCGAGAAACGTGCGATGCCGGGAGAGTCTTTTTAAAGCTTTGAACACATAGGCGTGCATTTTTCAAGCAGAATTGCCGCCCGAAATTCATAGTTATTATAAAATTCATTTTCAAAATTACCAAAAAATATCTTTCAATCATTGATAATCATGCTAATTTTATACAATTATATATATTTTTTCATCTATTTCTTTTTGCCTTTACTTATATTTGTTTTTTTTTCATTGTTAATATTTCAAAAATTTTTATTTTTGAATAGTGACAATACGATTAATAAAAAATCAATATATATATATTGATATATATAATATGATTAATTAGAAATATTGATTAATTAATTTGAAGCGAAAATATATATACAAGATTATTTACGTGAAAAAAAACTAAAAGATTAAATATGAATTCGAAACAATGTTAAAAAAATATAGAAAAACAATAGCAAACAAGATAAAAATAAGCGAAAAATATTATAAATATTGTTTGTATATTTTCAAAAGAAACGAATCATAAAAAATATTATAGATGTAGAGAAATAGAATACAAGATAAAAATAAATATAATATTCATTAAAGGAATACAATTTTTCAATAAAAATAAAGAAAAAAACAATTAAAAAAAGAAGAATATAGATATTCTTAAGATTAAGGGCAGCAATTCAATGAAATTTGCAATATGACAAATCGAGGCACTATCACCTATGTTATTATAGCTAACTGATAAAAATCAGCAAATCATGCGCTTTTGGATATCGCAATATACTATCACCTCAAGCTTCGAAAAAATACAGCGATGCAACGAAAGGATTGTGAGCGATGATTCTCTTCTCCTCGAAATATTCCTTTTTATATACTTACTATATTTTTCGTTTTACGCTTTATGCCTTTTTTTTTTCTTTTTTCTTTAATATCAATTCTTATATATCTTAGTGATCAAGTGATTATTTCTTAAATTAAAAAAAATGTCATGAATCAATACCAGCTATTATAAATATATGCATAAATATATTTTTATTTAATATGAATTAAATTATTTTATCATTTTCTATCTGTGACGAGGAGAGAGAAAGAGGGGGGGGGAGGGGGAGAAGGAAAAAAGATAAAGAGAGGAAGAAATCGAAAAGTCGGAGATGTGAAATTGAAATTAATTAATTAAAAATGACAAAAATGACTGCTAATATTGCTCATATTTTGAATTCCGAACGTATATGTACAAGAAAATGCTATAACGACAAGGAGCGAAACGAAGGTAATCATGAAATTAATTTCGTAGACAAAACCACCAGGAATCCGAGAGACCACTAACCGAATCCAATCAGTAATTGATTATCGCAATTTATTTCTCTTTAAATTAATTCGTTATCCTAGAATTTAATAATACATTTGGTCTAGTGATTTCTCGATTTCCGAGATAAATATCTCGAAGCAGAATTCGATCACAATCAACTTTATACCTATTGCGCAAAACGGGAAAAAGAGCCTGACCCATGAATGAATGGTTGAAACGAGGGGATGCGATTCTGAAAGAAAACAATACAATTGATATTCTTAACGAGAACAACTGCAAAAACCTGTCTCTATGTTGTTCGTTTTTTTGTCTCTCGTTATTTCATATTTTTTATTTTTTATTTTCTCGCGTGCTATAGATTCTTACAAATTATTCGAGAATAAGTCATCCATCCCTATTGATATTTTAAACAAACGTGATTGATTAATTTAATCTACAGAACAATAACGCTTTATTGTTTACCTATAACAATTATTGTGACTTACCAGTTATTTTTCTTCGAGGTTTAGTCGAGCTACTAGGTCTTCCAGAATTGTCAGATGACTGATTATTATTAGTACAAGTTTCTATTAATGATATATCCAAAGGATTCGTAGTAACGTTCACATTCAGTTTTCCTTCTTCATATTTTCTCTCATTGGATACAATATCGTTTAATCGATTTTCTCGATTCCCATCTTCTCGAGATCTATCGACAATTAATGTTAACATCGAATTTGAACTATCTCTCTCTGGCTGACCAGCATCTACCGAACCTCTTACAGGTGTGCTGAAAAAAAGTCCAAAATTTGATACTATAATAAATATAATCAATGTGGAAGTAAAATATATGGTAATGTTTCAAGAAAATGCCAGAAAGAAAATAAGAATTTCCGTTTGCTGTGCCTAAGATATTAATAGTATTGATAGTAAATAAGATTTTTGTAAATTATAAAGATATATTTTGTTAATAATAACATTGTTTATGATATGAGTTTATACCAATGCTTTGAAGTCATCGTTCCCACATTGCTCTATTTAATCACAATCTATATATTTATTTGTTTTTTTTTTTTTAGTTATGTAATTCGATTGTAGATGTGTTTGTAGATATGTCTAATTACAAAAATACGTGATATGAAATAGGATATCAAATACTATCCATATTTTTATGCCTAGTTATTTTCTAGAGAAGAATAATAAAAAGGAAAAAAAATGAACGAAAATGTAAAGAAAAAGATGATACAAACCTAAAAAAATCTGTTGTTCGAAGGTCTGGAAGAGGTGGGGTTCTTCCGGAAACAGATACCCTGATAGTCTCATTGACAGTACTATGGATTATAATAGGCGTTGAATCAGTTGAAGGAGCATCGGTTTCATCAAGGAGATTTGAAATACTAGATGCACGAATATCAAGGCAAGTAATAGGAATATCTGATTTCAAATCAGTGCCAGTTAACGGTGGACACATTTTAAATCCTTTCTCATCTTCAGTCGAATATTCAATCGATGGAGAGGAAGAAGATGGAATTGGCGGAGATGAAGGAAGTGGAGCCGATAAAATTGGTTCAGATAATGGTACATCCATTGATGATGCAGCAGCAATTGATGGTGACATCTCCGATGGAATGTCCATTAAATCAAAACTGTCATCTGGTTGTTCTCCATCCGTTGTTGTCACCTATACAATCAGATACATTTTCTTCATTCTTAATTATATTTTTATATTCTTATGCATAGCATAATTTTAATTTCTATAATTTTACCATTGTGAGCATTGTATTAGCACTATCAGTGCTAGTATTAATTGTTGTTTCGGAAGCAGTACTCGACCCCATAACGACAACTTTCGGAACAGTGCGGCAACTTCGACTTCCGCCTGCAGATTTAAAGTGCAATCTCCGTAATGCAGAGGCAGCATGCGATAATAAATCGGTTTCGCGAGAATTTTCTGTTCCATTATAACGATACGTGGCATTAGAAACACGTGATATTTGCGATTGCGACTGTGATTCAGTTGTTGTTGAATCGATCCCATCGTTATTTTTTGAATTGCCATTGCTTCTACGGTTTGACCCACGACCATCCACCAGGCATCCCTGTTTTCGAATCAATAACGCAAAAAATAATTTTTATCACTTTTTATATTTCAATCCATTTCTATTTTATTTTCTGATACTCACGTGATTTTTATGTTCCGGTGTAGAAGGGGAGTTTGGTGAGTTTGGCAAAGAACCCCCTGTGGGGGTGCAATGCCGCAGTCGCGCCAGGGCCGTACGAAGCCCCTCCGTCACGAGGCTCTTTTATTTGGTCCTCGTAATGCCACCCTTTCTCTCTTCTTCAATTACTCTTTTTTTTCTTTGTCTTCCTTTTTATTACGTTTTTATACAATGTTCGTCCGCTTTATTTTCTTTCTTTTTTTGTACTTGTTTTATCTCCAATTTTTTTTCACTTTTATTTCTTGCTTCTTTACTTTCTTTTCTATTATTCACGTAACAATCAGTACTTCTTTTTTTACAATATATCAATTAAAAAATTGAAAAAAAGGAAAGAATGTGTGACAATACAATATTAATTTTACTTTCTTTCTTTTTTAATCCAGATCACTGAAATAATGTGATACGTTAATCAACATTTATATATTCTTCAAATATATCATGTAATTATTAATTAAATTTTATTTGGAAATTTTTATATAGTTGGCTAATCATCCATAAAATTTGAATACCACATCTCTATCCTATTCGATTTTCTTCTCTATTCTCCTTCATATCAATAACCTTTTTTCTTCGATCAACCATTGATTTATAAGCTGCGTCTCTGTAACGCAAAACGAAACAATTTGAAGTTTCAAATATCATCTGAATAATTGTAGAATCTTTTATTTTTTTATCATTTGAATAAGATCTAATAAAAATTTAACATTGAATTTCATTGAATATACTAAAATATATGAATACATGTAAAAAGAATAAAAATAGAATCAGCATACAAATGAATATTTATGTCGTTATATGATTTGATATTTATGGATATGATTTGATAACTTCATTACTAAATATTATTACCAAATTTCTTTTACGGAATCATATATTATAAAATATTTAATTTTTCCACATCCATAATTAATTAAAACTTGTTATTAACAAACCATTGATTTGTTATTAATAAATATTCATTAATTTGATATTTTTTCTTCTTCTTTTAGATGAAAAAAATTTTTTTTTGTATAATCACTAAACTCTTATTAATTATTACTATGCATCGAAAACAAAATCTGCGAAATAGAAATAAGAAGCACAAAAATAAATCAAAGCAAATGTATCTAAAAATCAGAAATAATAATAAATAATAAATCATCAATATTATTACAAGAATCAATGATTATCAATAATATATCATTTCATTAATTATAATTCAATTACTCAATTTTTAACAAGGTATACACGCCGATTATAACACCATTGACGTTTTTATATAAATATATTCACATTATTCATAGTATACACTACATTATATTATACATATTCACAATTTTTAAAAAACAAATCGTTTTTTTATAATTAATTTCTTTTATTTTGTCTTATTTTTTTTAATTATAGACATGATGCACTTTGTTATATATATATATTATATTACAGATTTTAACTTGAAATTTAAATAAATTTATAAGCGAGTTTAAAACTGAATTTTTTAATATTTATAATTACATTATAAAGCAATTAGATATTTGCACGAATGAAACAAAAGAAACGAATAATACAGAATAATGAGATTGAACAAATCAAAGAACAATAATCAATCGTGATGAAATAATGAACAATGTGTGAATAAAAATATACAAAGAAAAAAAATATACAAATCAAATGAACAAAAAACAATCCACACCTAATAGATCGATCAAAATTTCATTAAAATAACATTTTTTTTTCTTTATAATTCATAATATGAAAGATAACAGGAGAGATTTATTATATTTCTTTGAAATAATACCTGCTATATTCCTTTAGAATAATACCTGCTATATCCTTTTGAAATAACAGCACTTTCTACCTTCACATTCCACGGATTACTGGCGTGTAATAAGAACTTCGAGAAAGGATATTAGCGCTTGCGCTTTTGCAAAGGGTGAAAACTGCTAAACTAGCAGCACTGTCGCACCCAATCTGCACCATCCCCCACTTATTCATTTCTTTATTTTTTTTGTTCTTTTCTATTAACTAGCTTTTTATACTATTATAGTTTTTTTTTTTATTTAATTCAATTCATTTTATATTTTATTTCATTTTATTTCAAAAATTTTTTATTTTGCATTCTCTGTTTTCCTTTTCCTTTTCTTTATCTTATGCTACAATTATTTATTTTTTCTATTTCTTGTAGTGATATTAAATGAACAAGTTTAAAACAATTGAAAGAATTTTTTCTTATTTTTAAAAATTTTTCTCATTTTATAAAAAATTAAATGAATAAATCAATTATAATTTTTTTAAGTATTGTTTCATGCGCGATGTTAAACACTAAAAAAAAATAAATGAAGAAAAATATAAAAAAAAAAAAAAAAGAATAAATGATATCATATGATTAAATATATCAATAAATCATAATAAAATATAACATTATAATTGAGAAAAACAAAGAATTATCAATTTTAGTTCAGTTGAAATTAATATGCAATAGTAAATATTTTCGATCAATTGACCGATCTTATAATTTACTTGCATAGAAAAAAAAGAAAGAAATAAAAAAATATTACAAATATTATATATATATATATATATATATATATATATATATATATAAAATAAACAAATGAAATTAATCTAAACATTTTATTAAATATATATCAAAAATTGCGTAATTTTATGAGGTATGTACAACATCGAGTACTTTTGAAGATCATATTCATGACAAAATATTGAACCTCATAAATCTGTATATCTGCGCAGATGCACAACCGTTTTCTATATTACTAGTGCCATTCACCTCATCTTTGCCCTACATTTTATTTTCCATCATTTTACTTTTCAATTTTACATTTTTCATTTTTTCTTCTTATAAAATATAGTTATAAATTTAAAAAAAATAATTTCTAATAACTAAAAAATATTTTTTCTAATCAAAAAAAAAAAGAGACAAAAACATAATACAAATAGAGGCAGAGAAAGAGAAAGAGAGAGAGAGAGAGAGAGAGAGAGAGAGAGAGAGAGAAAGAGAGAACAAGGTTAATAATATAAATAGAGGCAAATAGAGGATATAAGGCAAATAGAAGATATGCGCATAGTCTCTAATAGTTAAACGATTTAGTTTATATACACGTTAAATCAAAACAAGCAAGTTGATCGACCGCTTTATCAAAACATTAGACATATCTTTATCGATCCTTACGTTACATATTTTTACATATATTTTACCGATATATTATTTTTCACATTTATAATAGAATATAATAAAATATACTGAATAAAACATGAATATAGAATATACTGAATAAAAAAAAAAAAAAGAAATTAAGAAAAAAAAAAATAATAAATGTATGAAACATGAATTATTATGAAAAAATCTTATTTACAAAACAAATTCAATCTATAACAAATAATTTATAATTTTTTCTTTTTTTCGTTTTTGTTCATTTCAACTAAAAAAAATCTCGCTATTGATTATATATTTATATATACAATATAATTAATAACATTCACATGCAATATTGCATTTTAATTAAACGATATTTTTTTTTTTTACATATAATAATGATTATTTGTATGTTTATATAAATGTTTGTAAGTATTTATTTACGTGTAAGATAAAATATGCATAAATCTCTTTATATGATAGTATAATGTATGTGTATTTTCTCATATTCAAAATATAATAATAAATGTTACACATAGTAGTTATAGAATATTGATCAGGAATCTTTACAAAGTAAAAGTGACGATATTTTATTTCAAATCACTAAATCATAATCTTTATCTCTTTTTACTTATTCTTACAATCGAAATCCATTATATTATTTCGCAATAATTTTCTTTCGTATTTTCATCGATTTTTTATTTAAAAAAAAAAAATAATTGTATATACGTATTAAATAATATATTCTCTAATATACTGTCACAATTGTATTTATCTTTTATTATAATACTTATTATATAATCGATCCATTTTCAATAGAATACATTCGTTTACTTTAATATTTGTAACATAAATAATACATAAGTTTTTAAAAGTTAAAATCTTGTATGCTTCTTGCTTTTATTTTTAATTTTATTTTCGCTGTCATTATTTTTATTATCATCACCATCGTCGTTGTTGCGGTGATATTATTTTAATAAAATATTTTAATAAAAAAATCATGGTTCTTAAGTATACATATTACTTATTTTTAAGTATACATATTACTGTTTTTTTCCTATTCTTTTTTTTTAATTTTACATTCAAATTAATAGATACATACAATCAATATAAAAAATGTAACAAAATTGCATACGTAAGTATAATATATATTAATAATTTTTTCTAAAAAATTATCATTTAAATCATGAGTATTTTTCTCTATACTTACGTTGAATTTTATTTACATAGAAAGTATAAAAATTTCAATGTACATTAAATTTATAATATTTAAATTCTAACTTGATTAATATTAATTTTGCTAATTTTTACGTGATTTATCAATACTCACCCCACAACAACAACAATAATTTTCTTTCATTTATTTTATTCATGTATATATAAAAAAGGGTATGATCATTAATAATTATCAGAATATGTTAAATTGTGTTTATAAAATAGATCAAATCAAGTTTAATAAGACGCACGATAAAGTGCTTAATTTCTATCAAAATAATAGATAACATATCAGGAACTTAGTGAAGTACAAATAAATTTTGAATTCATCAGAAGTAAATAAATAAGGTAACATAAATCAAATAAAAGAATAAATATAAATATATGGTAAAGAATAAGGATCGAGTTTGGAACGATAGTTTTATGCGTATAAAAATAAGAATTTATCTTAAAAATTTGTCTATCTTACGGATTAGAACCAGCACATTATCGTACTTGAATATTATACGAATTTCAGAACAGTCTTAATTGTTTATAATATAATATAATATAATATATTATAAATATAATTAGTATATATTATTATATAATATAATATAATATATATTATATAATAATATATTATATGAATGTTGTGTACATGTATCTGAAAGTATATATGTGAACGCGTGCATTTGTGTGTGTATATATATATATATATATATATATATATATATATATATATATTTTGCTTACACGCGTTTATTCTTAAATTCAGCATAATTACACTCTATTTTCATTTATGAACAATAACAAATAGTTGAAAATACAATAAGATTAATAAATACTATAATCTCATCGTAAGAAAATCTGTCATTAATTTAAAAAAAATGATATTTTGATTAGGCACAATACGTACACGTTATCAATATATAAAAGAAAACAAGAGCATCATAGATCGCCGATTTAATTCCAGTTTAATTATATTTTTAATTATAATTTTTAATTCCAATTTTAATTATATTTTAACGAATTTTAATCGCATTAGACCATTATTTTGCATATTTCGAAACGCATTAATCGAATGTTATTTTTCCACTATCATTCTTTCCGATTTATCAATTTTTCACAATAAATGAATATGATAAAAAATCCTTTTTAAAATAACACTCGATATTTAACTATAATAAATGACTATGTAAGTGATAAAACCTATATCCTTTTTAAAAGTCTTTATACAATGTTTAAATTATTATATACAAAATGGTTAAGAGATAAAAGTATTTTCTTTCTTATTGTAATTGTTATGCATTAAATTAATGAAATTAGCAATGATAGGACTACATTAATTTTGTTCGTGATCGAACATGGTCTTATTTCATTATAGCCTGCTTATATTTACAAAAAAGCAGGTGCATAATATCTTATCAGTTGATAATATACTAATATATGTTTTAAATCTTAAATCTCGGTCTCACAAAAAACGATCGAGGTATCGTTGTTTTTATCTTTAAATAGAAATTAATACCTGTGGTTTCTTAATATATGAGCAAATCTTTCGCTCGATTTCAACATATACTTATATAAAAAATACAAGTGCAAATATACAGATTTATAGGATGTAAATAGATATTCTCGAGCAAAATCTCGACCATTATATGAAACGGACGGGCATAAGATCTAAAATCTAAGATCTAAGTACATCCCTACCTATATCAGACTGAATCAACATATACATAGTTTTGAATAACTAGTGGTGTAATTAAAAAGATTTTTTATGATTCTACATAAAAAAAATAAATCGAAAATAGAGAATGAAATTTTCTTATATCAGATTTTGTTTTTTATTATAGAAATGTGATTTTAAATATTCGCCGAATACATGTTATTTGACTATGTCTTGAATATTTAAAATTGATTTTTTAGAAAACAAAGCGTAAAATTTTATTCTATAATTTCGATTTATTTTCTGATATAGAATTACTCAGTTATATCAACAATTAGCGAAATATAAGTACGATAATAAAAGTTGATTAATATAATAATAAAATAAGAAAGAATACAACTGCATAATGTTCATAAAAATATGAGACATCTTTGAATGTGGATGGTGGAATGGAATGGTGGATACTAGATATCAAAAAGTTCATATGTACCTATATTCGGTTTAATTAACGAGATACAAGCATTTTAAATTTGTATTAAATGAGAATGCTAAATGAGAATGAGAATGCTCAATTAAACGTGCAATAATACTGCATTACAATATTGCTTGCATAACAGAGTCCTTTAATGAAAATAAATATATTGATCAGACATTTTTTTTACATATAATTATATAATTACATATTATATAATTATTTTGAATTTTTTATTATTTCTGAATTTCAATGTAATGTAATATATAATGTACGTAAATATCATATATGTAATAATTAAATATGCAACATTTTTATATCGTTTTAAAAAAAAAAATTTTAATTATACAAATCGAAATCTATGTAACTTGTTATTTAATAAAAATTTACCTTGGACAAATTATAGCAAATTTCACAATATTTGACACTATGTGATATGTGATATTTTAAAATCATAGATAAATCATTGTATTACATTCAATTTGCCGTAGTTGCTGAAATCCAAATAGAAGTAAATCAAAGCTTATTCATAAAATTTCGAATTAGAAAGATTGAATGTTTTTATACGCATAATTGTTCTTTGATTATTTTTATATATATCTGAAGTATTAAAAATATTTGAATTTATTTAAATTTCAGATTATTAAACATGATTTAATAAAATTACTGACAAATCTTCATCTTTATTTCATTTATATTCAATATTTCTTATGCAAAAAGAAATAATCGATTTAAATATCACATATTAATACTACGAATCAATATTACATATTAATATCACGTATCCATAAAAAATATATTCATATAGCAATTGTTTTTTTATGCTATGAATGAATGCTACAAATTCACTAATTTTTTTTTTTTACATTTTTATTTCTTATTTATAAACAAATAAAGATCAGAACAAAGCAACACTTTAGCAATAAGAAATTGTTGATTTATATTTTTTATAAATACTTTTGTATTTAATACACACTAACATAAGATTCGATTTCGAATATTACTATCTTATTTTTTGTTTCTATCTAGATTCTTTTTCTAATGCCCACAATCAACGTTAAATTGTTAGCAACGCTATTTCGGTAATACATTATCGTATACCGCGAAGTTCGTAAGTTCAGAATTGATGAAATAATGCATATTTGAATACAATAAAGTCTAAAGTTCAAAATAAAATCTTAATAAAATGATAAAGTATAATATAAAATTAAAAGTATATATAAAAATATTTATATAAAATTAAATTATATAATAATAAATAATCGATTATTTGAAATAATTTTATTTTTAAAAGTTAATATGAATAGTGAATAAAAAAAAATATGCAAAATTAAAAATAATTAAAAAGAAAATGCAATGCTTATATGATTTTTTTAATGGATATAAAACGCGGTATTAATATATTAAAATATAGATATTAAATTTTGACTATTATTTTTTTCTATTTAATAATTTCATATTGGAATAAAAAACATTGAATTCGAATGAAATAGAGATAAAGATTTTTCAATTGATCTGTGAAATTTAAATTGATCCAAGTATCATTACTGACTTTCTTGTACATGTGAATAGAAACAAATTTGTAATTTGCAATTGACTGCAAAAAAACATTCAATCTTTCTAATCTGATCTTATGGGAATTTTGATTTTCTCTTATTAATTTCGATAAATAAACAAGTCATTAAGTGTCATACAATAATTCAATTTATGGATTTAAATAAAGTGATGTATATGTTAATTTTCTAAAATTTACGCGGGAAGTTAAGTTTTTGTTAAATAAGAAGTATTTAATATTACGATACACTGAAATTCAGAAAATTCAGAATTATATGTAAAAAATGTCAATTTATTAATTAAAAAAGATTGGAAATAGCGGAGTCTTTCAATGATAATAAGATATTTTGGCGTACATCTAGTTGAGTATTCTCATTCTTTCGTCTCACTTTAATACAAACTTAAAATACTTATAACTCGTTTATTAAACTTGTCGGACCTATATCTATATGAACATTTTCATCGTTTTGAAGTTTGAAACCCAAAGATCTCTCATATTTATGAATATATATATATATATATATATATATATATAAATTCATACATACATATATATATAATAGCGCAAAAATTTTCTTTTATGAAAAGAAGAAATAAAATGAAAGTAAAAAAAGCTATTAATTAGTATCGAACATTATGAAAATTAAAATAATTATAAATTAATACCTGATATGTTACGAATTGTGAAGCTTAATCAATTAAATTAAATTATTCATTCTTGATTCTTACAAAAATTTAAAATAATTCTTATAGAAATTAAAAAATCGTAGAGGTTTGTTGATCGTTTTCTGTGTTTAGTTGAATCCACATGCTTAATACTTAATAATAATAATAATAATAATAATAATATCAATATTAATGATAATAATAATAATAATAATAAGAAGAAGAAGAAGAAGAAGAAGAAGAAAAATTATAATAATAATAAAATAAAAAAAGAAATTCTATTAAAAATATTCAATTCATGTGGAAGTGGCATATCATCTTATTAAAAATATGTATGCGGCATAATTTCCTATAACTGCAATATATAAGATTCTAGAATTAGAAAAAAGTGATGCTAAACTAGAATACACTTTTTCCACGTCTTCGCAAATGCCTGAAATAGTAATGATAAAATTATTATTAGATTATAATTTAAAACGTTTTATATTTCAATAAATATTTCACAAAGCAAGTTTAAAAATAACAAAGAAATATATGAAAAAAAAAAACTAAAAAAAGCTGGAAATAAAAAAAAATAAGAAAAAAAAACAAATTTACATTTTTCGTTTGAAATACCTTGATTAATAAGTGTATAAGACCGTTCATCTTCAACTTGTTCTCTGCGACAAATGCGATCTAATTTAGTTAACCAAAGTTTTTGTTCAGAGACTTTTGTTTTAGCCGCTTTTGCAGTCATGGATGTTTTTTCTATATTATTAGTAAATCGCATAGAGAAACAAAAAGTTTGTCCGAAACTTAAAGAAGCTTGATTGGTTTTTAGTGACACTATTGTATACCAAGTATCTTTTTCTTTCCAACTGCCATGACAATAATATGCTACAACATTTATTCATTTTTTTCATATTTAAAATTCGTATAAATAAAAAATATAAAAAATAAGTATGATATAAAGAATGCTTACTTGTTTCTTCAGTATCACATGTTTTTCCAATAACAATTTCTGTCTGATTTGATGAGACACAACCTATTTGAACATTGGTACTCTTACAATCTCCTTTTTGTTGTTGATGTTGTTCTCCTTCATATTGTTGTTGTTGTTGATGATGATGATGATGATGATGATGATGATGATGATGATGATGATGAATTTGTTGATATTGTTCGTGTAATTCTTTTTGAGGTAATTCTTCATGCCAAGTTCTTTTAATAATTTTAGAATGTCTTTCATTATGATGTTGTTGGTGAAACGAAGTAGATATATCAAATGGTCCAAGTACAATGTATCGTCCAGGATTAGGACATTTTCTTTGACGTAATGAAGAACCTATTATAATAAGGAATCAACTTATATTTTATAATCATATAGCTGAAATTGAAGAATTCTTTGAATAAGAGCGTTTCTCGAGATATTTCCTTTTTCTGCATTTTTGTGATCTATTGACTTTATTATATGTACATGCTTTAAATTACTAATAGTATATATAACTGTTAATATTATCTATGTAATATAATATTTATATAATGTAACTTTGTAATAAAAAATTATTATATTATTTACAAAAATTTTAAATTTGTCTAAGAAATAAACATAAAATGTTATTAAATAGTTTTCTTTATATTATCAATAAAATTGCTATGTATTTTATAAAAAAAAAATTTGATTATTCTATTTGATATCGATTATATTCCAACTTACAAGCAACTACATCACCAAAAAATCTACTTCGATGATGCCATCTGCTCAAAAAATGAAATCTATAATGAAATATATATAAATATATAAATCTATAATCTATATATATATATATATATATATATATCTATATATATCATCTGATATATCTATATATATCATTACAATATTGGTGCATACCATTTTGTAGTACTAAAAATATTATAATGAAATCAACTGAACTTATTATTTATTATTTATTTATTTTCTTTAATTTTTCTTATCTTCTATTAAAGATTTTTATTACTTTCTAATAATTTTTAAATTTTTAATAACAATAATGTTTTCAACAATGAATTCTCCATTTTTTATTGAATAAAAATGTAATGCTACTTTGTTTTGCTTCACTCTTTTCGTAAAATTTATAATAAGAGCTTTGCCTTCTATATTTGTTATTGTTTAATTATAATTAGACATTCTGTAAAAGATTTTTAAAACTAGATTCTGCAGTTAACTATTTTATCACTTATTAATTATAGTTATTACCACTTCTAGATAAAAAAAATATTTTAATATTATAAAAATTAAAAATTAATAATAATTAAATTTTAATATTTTTTTCACTATTGATATAATTTATTAATTGATTAATTATTAAATTAAACTACAAATATAATCTTTTTTTTATATTTGTTTTATATAAATATAAATATTTTCAAAAATTCTTATATATATATAAGGTTTATAAAAATGTGAATCACCTTCACAAGGTGAGTCCTATATTTCAAAACGATGAAAATGTTCATATAGATATAGGTCCGACAAGTTTAATAAACGAGTTATAAGTATTTTAAGTTTGTATTAAAGTGAGACGAAAGAATGAGAATACTCAACTAGATGTACGCCAAAATATCTTATTATCATTGAAAGACTCCGCTATTTCCAATCTTTTTTAATTAATAAATTGACATTTTTTACATATAATTCTGAATTTTCTGAATTTCAGTGTATCGTAATATTAAATACTTCTTATTTAACAAAAACTTAACTTCCCGCGTAAATTTTAGAAAATTAACATATACATCACTTTATTTAAATCCATAAATTGAATTATTGTATGACACTTAATGACTTGTTTATTTATCGAAATTAATAAGAGAAAATCAAAATTCCCATAAGATCAGATTAGAAAGATTGAATGTTTTTTTGCAGTCAATTGCAAATTACAAATTTGTTTCTATTCACATGTACAAGAAAGTCAGTAATGATACTTGGATCAATTTAAATTTCACAGATCAATTGAAAAATCTTTATCTCTATTTCATTCGAATTCAATGTTTTTTATTCCAATATGAAATTATTAAATAGAAAAAAATAATAGTCAAAATTTAATATCTATATTTTAATATATTAATACCGCGTTTTATATCCATTAAAAAAATCATATAAGCATTGCATTTTCTTTTTAATTATTTTTAATTTTGCATATTTTTTTTTATTCACTATTCATATTAACTTTTAAAAATAAAATTATTTCAAATAATCGATTATTTATTATTATATAATTTAATTTTATATAAATATTTTTATATATACTTTTAATTTTATATTATACTTTATCATTTTATTAAGATTTTATTTTGAACTTTAGACTTTATTGTATTCAAATATGCATTATTTCATCAATTCTGAACTTACGAACTTCGCGGTATACGATAATGTATTACCGAAATAGCGTTGCTAACAATTTAACGTTGATTGTGGGCATTAGAAAAAGAATCTAGATAGAAACAAAAAATAAGATAGTAATATTCGAAATCGAATCTTATGTTAGTGTGTATTAAATACAAAAGTATTTATAAAAAATATAAATCAACAATTTCTTATTGCTAAAGTGTTGCTTTGTTCTGATCTTTATTTGTTTATAAATAAGAAATAAAAATGTAAAAAAAAAAAATTAGTGAATTTGTAGCATTCATTCATAGCATAAAAAAACAATTGCTATATGAATATATTTTTTATGGATACGTGATATTAATATGTAATATTGATTCGTAGTATTAATATGTGATATTTAAATCGATTATTTCTTTTTGCATAAGAAATATTGAATATAAATGAAATAAAGATGAAGATTTGTCAGTAATTTTATTAAATCATGTTTAATAATCTGAAATTTAAATAAATTCAAATATTTTTAATACTTCAGATATATATAAAAATAATCAAAGAACAATTATGCGTATAAAAACATTCAATCTTTCTAATTCGAAATTTTATGAATAAGCTTTGATTTACTTCTATTTGGATTTCAGCAACTACGGCAAATTGAATGTAATACAATGATTTATCTATGATTTTAAAATATCACATATCACATAGTGTCAAATATTGTGAAATTTGCTATAATTTGTCCAAGGTAAATTTTTATTAAATAACAAGTTACATAGATTTCGATTTGTATAATTAAAATTTTTTTTTTTAAAACGATATAAAAATGTTGCATATTTAATTATTACATATATGATATTTACGTACATTATATATTACATTACATTGAAATTCAGAAATAATAAAAAATTCAAAATAATTATATAATATGTAATTATATAATTATATATAAAAAAAATGTCTGATCAATATATTTATTTTCATTAAAGGACTCTGTTATGCAAGCGATATTGTAATGCAGTATTATTGCACGTTTAATTGAGCATTCTCATTCTATTTAATACAAATTTAAAATGCTTGTATCTCGTTAATTAAACCGAATATAGGTACATATGAACTTTTTGATATGTAGTATCCACCTTTCAAAGATGTCTCACATTTTTATGAATAGACCGTATATTTTTATTATATTATATTTATTTAAATGTGAATTTAGTAAGATATTATATAAGTAATATACGTAATATATTACTTTTAATAAAATGAAATGAAATTTTGATATAAAGAATATAAGAAAATTCAATATTTGGAGAAAGCGTGACCAAAATCATTTTTTAAAATTGATTTAGAAATTTTATTTTTTATTGAAATAAAAAAAATTTTTATTATCTTTATATATATATATATATTTAAATAAAATTCATATACTATTTATTTTATAAATATGACAATTTTATAAATAAAAGAAATATTGAATATTTTAAAATATGATTTTAGTAGATATGCTCTTATTTAAATTTCAAGTTACTTACTTATTAAAGTGGTATATGGCATTGTAGATATATCTATAAGAGAACATGCTTCATCTGGCATTATAGCTTTTTGATCTAAAAAGGTTTAATATTTGAAATAGCAAAATAATATAGTTCAAGTATTCAAAAAATAAAATGTCAAGTTGAACTTACTTGATTGTTGTAATTCTATAATGTGATGATCTCTTTTGTGAAATATCATACAAACATAACCAATATCACTGTAACAGAGTATTCTTATTACATATTATAGTTTTAGATCTATAACATGCTATAATTACTACTTACCATCCACTAGTAACATGAGCGATTAACTTTACTTTATATCCTTGTGAATTTTCTGTTGGATATAATTTTTCTAAATTATGACAGACAATCTTTTCTTCATGAAACATATCTCCATCGACTTTTTGTATTTTAATTTTAAGTGTTGCATTTTTATTTGTGAAATGATAAATTTTAGAACCATCCAAAGAACGCCAGTCATGATGTTCAGTAATCCACGAAGGATATTTACATCTGTTGTGCTCTTTATCAACTATAAATAGTATAAAAAATTAAAATTCTTGATCAAAATTAAAAATTTTTATATACCTTTTGTAAGTTTTATAGTTGGTGATCCTTCAGAAACAGTAGTTAAGCCGTTACAAGTTGGCTCGCCTGATTGAGCGAGTAAATAAACTACTTTTCCCTGATGATGCGTTTTCTCTTCATACAGAAAACATCTGATTGAAAAAAATTAAAAAAAAATTGATACTGAATATGAAAAGCAATTTTTGTTATATCAATGACTAATAATACACATGCATATAAGAAAGACCGAGACAAGTTGATACATTTCTCAGTTTTTAATTTTTTCAATTTTTTATTTAAATTAATTACCTAATAAAAAATATATTAAAATATTGGCTCTTCTATATAAGTGAATATTTGAAAAAATACATATAAAATAAATTAGAAAACTTTTATTTAATGAAATCAAAATGCATCAACTTACCCCATAGCAGGACAAGTTGATACTGCTCTGTTATTAAATGTTAATACATATATAAAATATCTTGCTATTATTCCATCACTTAATAACTATTTTTATTACTTAAAATATATTACTTCAGTCATGTTGATTATAATATAATTATAATTTATGTTCTAAATTATTATTTAAAATTTAATAATATTTTGAATAATTTATTTTTTTATATCAGGATTCCTATTTTTTTATTAATATGTCTTAATAAAATCATCTTATTTGTTTTATATATATTTACATTTTGATAATGAACCTTCTTTTGTAGTATAAGCTTTGTCAAAAATATCTTAGAATATTTCATCACAATATTCTTTATATAATTGTGTAAACCATTTTTCTAGAAAAAAAAGAAAAAATCTAATTAGAGATAATTGGAACAAATTGATACAACATACTTCAAAGAAGATGTATCAATACGCCCCACAGAAAGTTATTACATAAAAATATTTTCATATTTTTAAAAATATGATATATATGAATAAAATAAAAAAAAATTTATTTTCAATGTAAAGAATAGAATAATTTGAAATATAAAATTTTATGTAATATATCTAAAGATTGCAAAATCGACATAAAAATTTTTTTCTATATAAATGAAAATGATTGTATAATATTGACATTCTATTATAAACAACAATTAAATAAAAAATATATATCTATATAATATATTAATTATATATATATATATATAATATAAAATATAGTATAGTATATAGTATATTTATAGTATATATATATGTAATATAAAATATAATATATAGTAAATATAGTATATATTGATATATATATTATAATCTAGTTATACATATAAAATGTGCAAATAATTTTATTGTATCAATTTGTCTTGGTCCATTCTATATATAGTATGTACCTATATGTTTTTTCGGCACCCGATATACTTCTTCCTTTCAATGTTCCAACAAGATATTTATTACGACCATCGTTCCATACAGCAAGACATTGTAATTCTTCCGCTAAAATATGAAAAAAATGCATTCATCAATAAAAATAATAATATAAAAACATACTTATTCAAGAAATTTATTTTTATAATAATAATCCATATTCAATAAGTTAATTTATAATAATAATATTGAGCTTACTGTTACTTTCACTTCGTTCAATATCTGGACAAGCCTGATATTTGAGAAGCAATTTACTTTCATCAGTGCATTTCTCTCCAAGACTAATAGGCATTGCACATTCACCAAAACCTTTATCATAGGTAAATGTAAATGATGGTCCACTAAAAGGGCAGGGTATTGGTTTGGAATTAACACGAAACATTGAATATAAAGTATCATCGGATTTAATTGTATTTGAACACATATCATCCAAAGTGGTTTGTTCAGCATTGCACCATCCTGACAGAAAAAGAAAATAAATTATATTTGAGAAATAAAATATCAAATTATAATACATACATTTCTTGGAAAGAAATTTGGATTTACCTTCACGAAATTGAATCACATTCTCATGTCGATCATTAACAATTATACAATAATAGCAATTATCACCGCTGAAATATTATATAATGATTATATAATTTTGTTTTGCAATTTTGCTTATACCTTGTCTATTAATCTTTTTTTATTTTATTATTTTTAATATTTTTTATTATTCTCAAAAATATTGCAATACTTACTATACAATATAAGAATGTTCTGACCGTTCTACACACATCCTTTCACCCAGAAATGTTGTATTTACAGTAATTGATACTGGTTTTCCATATTGATACCATTCTCCAGTCCATGCAATGGGAAACTCGCATGAGCCTAAGATAATTTTTTAAAACATTATTCTTTCAATTATTTCTTTAATTGTGAATGTCATTTTAATTGTGAATTTTTTTTATAAATGTTTAACTTCTTCAAAAATAAAAATGTAATTGAATATTTAAGCAAAAATCATTATCTATTAAATAAAAATTTGAATTTATTAATTCTGTTTTCTATTGTCTTATATTAATATATGTAATATAATTCTGTTGTCTTAATATATTGTCAAACATATAATCTCACATATTATTATATAATAACTTATAAAATATTTTTGCTTTACATTTGATTTGATACAAATAATTTCTATACACACTTACCATTTGCAAGATGTACATCACTTAGATATAATAGCAACAATATTAACATTGTTGTCATATAACAAAAACGTTTTTCTTGATATAAAAAAAATTCTTGCATTCTGAAATAATAAATAGATATTATAAATAATTGAACATAGTAGACAATAAATAATCTTTGTTATTATTATTATTGCTTTTGTTATTTGCTATCATTATAAAATAATTTAATCACTTTTATTTATTCATCCACAAAAAATTTTTTTCTATATATAATCTAAGTTTTTTAATATATTATAGAATTTTAGTATATTATATAAAAAATTAAAATATCATAAAATAATAATATATACACAACAAACAATGATTTCAATTATTTATAAAAATGAATAAAAATATAAAAAATATAAAAATATAAAAAAAATATGTATTATCTATTTATAAATATATATATATATATATATTTATTTTATATATATTTTAAATTGTTAATATTAATTGTATTATTCATGTAAAATTTCCGCAATACCACAATTTAAATACATTACTTTTATATTATATTATTTTTTATTATATATATTTTTTTGAAATAAAAAAATCATAATAATATGAAATGAATAAATGTAAGGAAATGTTCATTACAATTGACAATGATTGAAAAAAATATATGTAAAGAATTTGACAGATATAGGGAAAACTTCTGAGAATAATACATTATTTACCAAAGTACACGTGTTTCAATTGGTTTCGTTCAATGTTTTCTTTACCGCGAATTGCATATATCTTTTCATATCCTATTATTCGAATGATGCGCGAAAAGAAATGGATCTGCGCATACCAATGTCTAAACTCTAAATGTCAAATTTTTGCTCCATTTATTAGTCTTGTCTTTTATTGTCTCTAAAGATTAAAAAATTACGTTTTTTAATTTCTATATTCTTTTTAATTTTTATATTTTATTTCTAAAAGAACATTATCATAACATGTATTATTGTTATATTTATCAAAATATGTTTAATCGAACTTGTATTAATATTAGGATATATATCGATCCCAATTTAATTAAATCTATTTGTCAAAACAAAATAATTCAAATTTTCATTTTGAATAATTAAATTTATTATTTTATTTTTATTATTGATAATTAGCAATACTAACCTTTTTATATTGATCATCACAAACGCGAAAATGATGGAGGAAGCAAATAGCAAGGTCTAGAGAGTATCACATAATGTTCCACAAAATGAAAATTCAATTTTTAGATATAAAAAAAATTGTTCGAATTTCGTTCAAGCAGATTATAATATAACAATAATAAATAATAATTACGAAATCTTTATCACTATGTAAACAATAATTTTTAAAAAAAAAAAATAATGAATGACCACAAGAAATTTGATTTTTTTAATTGTAAAAGTTTTTCCCGCGATAATTAATTTAATTAATCAGCAATCAAAGAAACGCATTAAATACAATTGGATTGTCTATTAAGATTTTTCTTTCACTGATTCTAGCATGGAAGAACACAACACTTAGCATCACTATTATCACTGCAAAAATTATAAAAGCATCACTATTATATTAAGCATCACAATTAAGAAATAAATATTGAATGCATTTTTTTTCAAAATGCGATTTCTAAATTCTTTTGTCGATTTTTTAATTCTACATAAATAAATAAGAAAATAACATAAAATTTAAAGCATAGAACATGCTATTTATTATTCCTAATTTTTGATTAGTTTTTATTGATAAGGAAATACAATATTCACTATTGTACATTGATTTTAGTCTCTTTGTTCGTTTACTCATTTGCTCACTTTAAGAAACAATGGCGACTTATAGGCAGTAAGCGGAACGCCGCTGCAACTATTCTTACAGTGCGATATAATGCTGTAGAACCAGCATGCATTGCTAGACTTATAGTCTATTTGCCTCACCAGTATCTGCATGCATTACAAAACCACTGTGCAGTAGTAAAGCAAAGTATTAAAATTTTAGTGTCTTTTTTAAATTATATTTTATATTTGTTTTTCTTTTTCTTTTCCTTTTCTTTTTTCATTTTCTTATTCTTTTCTTTTTTTCCTTTAGCTTTCGTTTTTTTTTTTTTATTTTGAAATTCATTACAAAAATGTTACGAAATATTGTTTTATTATTCAATTTGTATATTATACTTTTTTTGCTTAAGTAAACAAAAAAACTTGAATATTAGTTTTTAGTATATATTATTATTATTTTCTCAAATAGTATATATTTATGAAATATGAGAGTAATTTATAATATTATAATTTTACGAAAAAAAATAATATCATATTTTTAAATTATAAATTAAAAATTGAATATCTATACAAAGTAAATATATGAATCGTATCATTTTAATAGACTAGGAATTTTCGAATGTTTCAGTACCAACATAGAAAAAACAATGTATAAAAGAACTAATAACATGGAATTCTAAATATATATATTTATAGACACAATTTCAGATAATTATCTTGAAATAAAGACAAAAATCATACATTTGGACAAAATCATGAAAATTAAATGAAAATTAAAAAAAAAATTTTTTACTTTCAAAGTATTCAAAATATTTATGAAATGCAATTTAATTATTATTAATTATTATTAAAAATATAAATTTTATTTTGCTTTATTATATTTGTTAATTTTTATTTTATTCTTATAATTTTAAACATAAATAATTTTAAATATGCTTATTATAATACATATCTTATATTATATAAATTTAAATATAAATTTAATAATTTCGGAAAAATGAAATTTTTGATAACTGTTGATAATCTATTTGATCTATAACTTATTTTATTTTAAAAATATAGTAAAAAATATAAAAAATATAGTAAAAAACTTCATGTAACTGTTTTTAGCATGTTTGATGCAGTGTCCACCATTTTGAATTATCTTTTGTCTTAAGTGATGTTACATTTTTTCCTATTATCTTTGTTCAATTTGATTTATGAATCTTTATACAAATTGTGTTTATAAATATATATAAGCATAAACTTATAAAAAACAATAACTTGATTTATTTCAATTTTTTAATTAGTCTTCATATAATTTGATATTAACTGGTGCTTAGATATAGTATAAAAAAAATTCTTATTGTTACATTGTAGTGTAGTGATGAACATTTATTAATTTGATTTATTGATTTGTAAAAAATTCATACAAATATCGTAGAAATTGGTTCAAGATCATAATAAAGGCAAAAAAATTGGTAATAATGCATTTACAAAAAATAAAATAAGCAATAGAAAATTTAATGTTAAAAATTTAGTGCTTGATATAAATTCTGTTCAATTTTTTTTTTTTTTGGTAAATTTTGTTTGAACAATTATTTATAAAAGGTGATCTTAATACCAATTTTGCGAAATTTTGGATATGTATAGAAGAAAGGAACGTGAGTAACATGTTCTTTGTTTAAGGCATGAAACAATTGCAATTTGAAAGTTATAAAAAAAATATTGTATAAATTATTACATTATTTGAATATAAATATTTAAAAATGAAATTATAAATGTATTTGTAATTGCGATAAATTGATTAGATTAGATTAGATTTTTTAAATATTCTAGATGGATGGATTTCCTTCTCTTCATTCATTCCCCTATGTAAATAAAAAACTTTGATTAAAATAATATATATATATATTTTATATAATATATTTTATATATATTTTATATATATTTTATATATATTTTTATATATATTATATTTATATTTATAATATTTTATATATCATATATATATATATATATAATATAATATATATATATATATATATATATTTCCAAAAAATTATAATCTAATCTAACCTAACCATATTTCGTATATGCAACGCATATACAATTTTTAAACACTTATATTCAAATAATAAATATAATATAAGAAATATAAATACAATTTTTTTTTTGAAGTAATTTTTAAACTATGATTTTCCTATGTTTCGGATAAAATATATCTATTATTTATAATGCTTATTTCTATAATATATAATATAAAATTTAATAAAATTTTTGTAATTATTTACATTTGTTATTTAGTTAATTTTTCATACATGTTATTATTCAACAAATCGATAACAAAATTTATTATATACTTATACATTATATTATATATAATATATTATATTTAGTCCTTTATTTGCACTATTTTTACAGATCGAAAAAAAATGCTTATTTATTACAGAATATTAAGAATTGGAATTAATGAAATGTAATATAATATAAATATAATAAATATAAATAAAATTGTTATTCGTTTCGAATATAACATGCATCAATAACAATATTGATATCAGTCAAATTAGTTTTTCAGGAATTATAGTAATTATTTTTTTTAAGATTAATCAGTATTTCATTTACATGAAATGAAATTTAACTCTTGCTATCACGTGTTATATATATATTTATTCACAAAAATATTCGGACACTAACATATGTTTAATTTTAATGATTTATATATCTTTGTTAATTATAAAAGAAATGAATTCAAATTTATTTTTTTCGATAAAATATTTATTATCCTTTATAAATATAAGCATAATTTAATTAATTAATTTGTTAATAAAATAATATTAAAAATTAAATATTGAAATCAATTATTTTTTGCGTCACAAAAATATTCAGACTCTTTAAAAATTTATAATAAAATAGCAAATTTTATAAAAATTAAATATGATTTTGATATCTTTTTGATTCTATAATATATTTTAAGCAATCTAAAAATTAAGTATTTTTTTTAATTAAAATTATTTTTTAATAATATACTGTATATTTTATTCCTAATTTAGATAAATCCATTTATTCTTTTTCTTTAGTGTATTTTGTTATTTTTTATCGATAGTTTGATGAGAATGTTTATACAAGATTCCTCAATTATGATAACTCAAAATTACAATGTGTTTGAATATTCTTGTAAATTAAAAATGTATTTTTCTTTGGTTTATTTTTTAATTTTCAAACAATAAATCAGATTAAATAATTTTTTATTTTATATATTCTATTATAAAATCAAATGTAATAATTTTTTATAATAATATAATTTTGTATATAAAATCTCAAAAAAATTTGCTGATTTGTTATTTGAGTATTATAGGAGAAATAAAAAAAAAAAATACTTTTATTTGTACAAAAATATTCACAATTCATATTTAAGTTATCGAATTAAATTAACAAATATTATATATTATGCAGTTACATGGACATCCACATGCAAACAATTGGATCATTGAATGAATAAAAAATTATAATACATACTAAAAAACATAAATATATAAAATATATAATACATTAAAATAACAAATTCATTTAAAATAAAAATAAAATATAAAATATATTGTTAATAAAAAATAATTTTTGATCTAATAGTTTTGATATAATATCTTAATTATTTTTGATTATTCAAAATATTATGATTAATTAAGAAAATATCAAAAACAAATATTTAATTAATTTAATATTTAATTATTAAAAAATTTACTATTTTAGTTATTTTATTAACTAAAATTTTTAAAGATATTTATATTATATTATATTTATAAACTATAAATTTTTAAAGAGTTCGAATATTTTTTGATATGAAAAATAGTTATGATTTCAATATTTAATTTTTAATATTATTTTATTGTCAAGTTAGTTAACTAAATTATTTATGTTTATAAAATATAATAAATATTTTATCGAAAAAAACAAGTTTGAATTCATTTTTTCTATAATTAAAAAAGATGTATAGATCATTAAAAAAAGAAAAAAAAGAAAAGAAAAAAGAAATATTCGAATATTTTTGTGAATAACTGTAGATGATGCGTATTATACTTCAATTTTTTTTAAGGATAAATGCATAATATTTTATTTATTTTCATTAAAATATTTTTATATATTATTTTTATATATCAACAACGATAAATTATTATTAATTTTTTTTTTTTATTATTATTAATATATTGTTTTTAGTTATTTTGAGTTATGAACAGCGACAGTGTTTTCTTAAACAATAATAGCAGAAGAATAAATTGATTCTTTTTTAACTAATATTATAGATAATATTGTTTATAAGTATTCATATTTTGCATTTTTATAAATGTATAGTTATATATTATGTATTTATAGTTTATGTACTAAAATTATTATATAGTATATATATATGTTGATATCAACTTTTTCTTTTCTATTAAATAGAAATAAAACGTGATTTTATGTGCATCAAAATATTTTCAAGATTGTTATGAGAATTGCTATAAGATAAATGGAATTTTTCTATTTTTTTTAATAATTTTGTATTAATAAATTTATAATAATTCGTATATATGTGATATATATATTTGGTTATTATTCAAATAAATTTATTTGGAATATTTTATTAATAAATAAAAAATTATGAAACATAAAAATTATTTAAATAAATACATATCAATATATATCTTGAATGGTAAATAAATATAGTTGAAATAGATACATTCTATATATTTAAAATCATTCACAATATTGGATCGTGTAATGATTTTCATTTCATACATAATATTATTTTATTAAATATAGAAATAGATATTTTTTTGAATTTCATAAATCTTTATTTCTTTAACAAAAATTTTTTATAAACATAACAAATTATTATCTATATTTGATCTATTTAATATTGTATTGTTTCTTTTTGATTATTTAATATATAATATTGAAGTAAACTTATATACATATAATATATATATTTATATATATATATTTATATATTTATATATTTATATACATATAACATATATATTTATATATAACATATATACATATATATAAATGTATAAGACAAGTTCTTTAAAATTTTATACATATAAAAATAGCAAATGTATAGATTTTTAAGAATTTTTTCAATATCAGTTTATTATTATTGATAATATTCAATTATAAATAAAAATTTAATAATAATTATGAGTTTTTCCATTCATATTATTAAAATTAATTTAAT